CTTCCTCCACTATCTCTCACTATTGATTTTGTGCCTGTCGGTCATTGTCCTGGGAAGGAGCAGCAGTGCAGTGGTGTCTCTAAGAAAATTTGGCTTTGAGTGGTGGGAGAGGCCAGCGGGGTGGGTGTTCTAGCTGTGGATTCAGAGGGGAGCCCACTTGGTCCAGAAGACTTATCGGGTGTGTGTGTATATCTGTCATTGTCAAGTTTGCTTTGAAATGGATTTGGATTTTCTGAGATAGCGGGAGGGGACATCGGCTCACTACATTTCACACTCTGGAAAATGAGGTGTAGAATGACAAGGATTTTGCTGGCTTTTGCTAATTTTCAAAGCCAAGGTTCTTGCACAGATCATTTTGTGTCCAGATGAGCATTTCTGACTGGGGATGGGCTGCCTCCTTTGAGGATATTAACTGCCTTTCGCAAGGCTGGGCCCGTGGACAGGGCTTCTGGTGATGTTTCCCATTGACCATCTGCTTCCTCCAGCTTTTGTGGTCCTCGCTGCCCCACCTCCCTCTGTCCCCTCGGGACCCTCGGATGAGATGGAGGACAGGCCTGGAGCCCTAGTGACTTTTAGAAGACTTCACCCTGACGTGGGTGTTAGAGTTTCCAGAAAATGCCCCGTGAGCTTCCATACCTACCCGGCTGTAGGAGCTGCACATAGAGCAGACAGATTTAAAACATGCGTGTGTGCGTGTGTGTGTGTGTTTGAGTAAAGATTACATTTCCACACAGCTTGCAAATATTTTCTTCCAGAGGTTTGCTTCTTGCCAAAAATTTAAATTTTAATGTTACAGCTTAGTTTTCATTTTGATCTAATACGTTGGTCTCGTTTTTTGCTGTCTGCTTTTTTCTCATTGTGTTTTTTTGACTTGTATAAGCCCCACTTAGTGTAGGATATAGATTTTCTGTGCATCGCAGCTGAGTGGTCTCATCTGGCTGTTACGAGTCTTACTGTTGGGTTTGCCTGATTTTGGCTGTACACATTCACTTCAGATAGAGAATTTTCTAGCGGACAAGCTTTTGGACAAAAGTTTATTATTCCTTCAAGATACCATTAAATTTTATTTAGTCTGTAATACTTCTGTTGTTTCTGAAGCCATTTTTCTGGTTCTATAATGTGATCACGGTTGCCATTAAAGGTTAGCATACGTTTCGAGAACGACTCCAGCCTGGGACGCTCTGGCAGTGTGGCCTTCAATCTGGCAAGGCATGTAGGATCATCTAGTTTCAAGCACGTAATTTTCTTCAACAGTGCTATCAGATATTTATGCGACTTCCAAGTTTATTATGAAATAGTCTTTAAAAAATATTTATTACCAGCAGAAGCAGATCTAGATGATAATTTAATCTAGCCAGTGTGCATACCAGAATACACAATGGTTTTTGGAAAATGTTTCGTGAGTTTTCAGATAAATTATTTCAACTAAAGGATTATCCCTGCGTTCCTAATGATACAAGGCGCTAGGCATGTTTTTTGTTTTAAAGCAGACATAAGTCCCCTGGACTCCGGATGTTTCAAGCATTGATGGTCTGCAGATGCTGTGGTAGGGTAGGTCAGAAACGTGCCGGGGCCCTCCCTTTCTTTGTAAGCGACGTGACCGAGGACTTCACCCATGTGCTGCAGGGTGGGGGTGTGAGTGTCGTTGAAGGCGCCAGCTTGGAGGGGGCCACCCTGTGCTGAGTGGTTAAGTCAACCCCCTGAAAAAAAGCCAGTGCTCAAGTACTTACATAGGACCCTCCCTTCCTACTCCCATAACCACTTATCATTTTGATAAATCTCGACAAAGCAAATATGAAGTGCATGCAGAGGAAAGAAATGTCATGGAATGGAGCGGTGCTTTTTCTTTCTAGGGACCCTGATTTCCAGGGAAGCAGGACAATGGCCCCCATTTTCCCTCTTTTCTGCCCCCCAAACACACACTTCTTACATCCACCTTATTTAAATATCTCTACAAAAACAGCAGTGGGTTTCTGTTTTTTAAAAAAAGCATAGCATTTTAGGTACCGTGTGGATTTCTTTAGAGGTGATTCCTACCGGTCAGCTTATTCTAAAATGATACCTTTACACACCCCTCTCGTATACTTAAGATTGTGAAACAGCTTCATGAGGCCTCTTTGAAGGCATACATTTGACGTCTAGTATCTTGGAGGGATTTAGTCATGGCTTCAAGAGGTTAGCAGTTTAATAGACAAGTTTTACTAACACTCTGCAAATAAAAACACTAACTTAAACATTTAAGGAAGATCCATAGGGTCTTTTCTTTGAGGGGCCTTCCTTTGCTTCAAGTACAAAATCAAAACTGCTTCCTTTAGTCTGCGAGGCCCGGACGTGGCCAGGCGGCCCGTCTCCTTGACCTCACCTTCTGCTGCTCCAGCCGTGAGGCCCTCCTTTCTTTTCCAACAACCCGCCGAGTTCATTTCTGCCTCGGCACCCTGCAGTGTCCGGTCCCTCGGCTGGGATATTCCTCCACCGTATCTCCCCTCGGGTTGCTCCCTTTTGTTACTCAGGCCTCAGGGCAAATACCCTGTGTGAAGACTCCCCAGTCCAAAGTAGCTGCTGGACCGTCTCTGTCAAGTGCGGCTACTTTGTTTTTGTCCCAGCAGCACACACTAGTCGGTGGAATTATCCTGTGTATTTGTGTTCTGTTTATTTTCCGTTTTCAACTGGAATATCTACCAGGAGGGCAACAATTGTTTTTGGGGTCTGTTTTGGTCATTGCTGTACTCAGTGCCTCTGCAGTAAGTACTTAAGAATGTTTGTGAAGCAAATAAAAAAGTGAGTGAAGGTCAAAGGAAACAGGCCTTTGCTGAGGACCGTCTCCTGCCTGGTAGCACCTGGGCTCCTTTCTCCTGCCGTCGGACCCCCTGGACTTTAGGAGGCAGCTCTGAGGTGCGCCTGGCGCGGAGGGGCGCTCAGTGGCGCCTGCTCTCGAGCCGCCGTCGCCCCAAGGCGGGCCCTTGACAAGCACACCAGCCTGTTTTTCAGGGTTCTAGCAGTGCCGGGCTGTCTGAACTTCCGGGGGACAGTCTGTCATCTGCCTGAATGTTTATGTGTGCTTGTGTCCCTTAGCGTCTTGACAGGTGGGTATGACGGGTCCCCATGCCTATGTGCGGGAGAATGCTGGGCTCCTTGCTGCCACCAGCCCCATTGTGGGGTTCCTCCGTTGCTGGATGAGCCGGCTACTGGGGGGACTTCTAGGCCGGAGGGCGTGTTGCCTGGTGCCCAGTGCCTGTCCCGGTGCTGGGGGAAGGGCCGCTCTGCTCCTCCTCGGGGGGCGCCGTCCATCACCCAGGTGCGCTGCGTGGGCGCGAGCGGTGACCTCCAGGCCCACCCCCCGCCCCCGCAACTCCGGGGTAGGCCGAGCGAAGCACTTCTGAGTTATTTATCTATCTCCCTTTCACCAGTTCTGTTAACACAGCGTCTGCATTTCGCAGGAAACTCCTCAGCCACATTCCTCATTTTCTGTCTCTTACCCTGGCTGAGGAAATGAACCCAAGTTTGCAAAATGGACAGAACATTCTCCCCGTCTGACTGGAGAATTGAGACTCACTGTTTTGACAGAACTGACAAGGCCATTATTTTGTCCGAAGTGCGCAGATTCATTCATTAACAGTTACTCAGTAGCTGCTTTGCCAGAGGTTTGAACGTACAGTGAGGTGTTTTTTTCAATCCTCGTTTGAGGATATGTTTTTTTTTAAATGGGTTTTTGGAGAGAGAGGAAGGGGGGGGTGGG